TCCCTTTCACGAGAGAGGAAACCGAGGCCCAGGGAAGGCTGGGACTGGCCAGGTTCAGGACAGGGGACAGTGAGATCAGGCCCTGGGGTAGCTGCCTCGTTATCAGCCCAGGCCTGTGGGGCTGAGCTAGGCTAGACTACCCTATTCCTTCCCTCCCCCAGGGCCAAAGAGCTTGGCAAGGGGATGGAACCAGCAGGGTTGGGGAGACGCTGTCCGTGGAGCCTTCCAGGCCAGGGCTCAGGCCATAAGCACAAGGGCCTGGCGTGGGGGTTAGGCAGGGACACACAGAAAAGGCCTCCTATGGCCAGCACCACGCCAGGCACAGCCAAAGTCTGGCCTGCAGGGGTGGGGGGCTCCAGGGCCGTCACTGCCATGACAGCGACATCACTGAGAAGTGGGCCAGAGACTGGGCAAGCAGGCAGAGACCCTCCTATGCTATGGGCCGAGGGTCAACAGAGGACCATGGGACAGGTGCAGAGTTCAGACCCCCTTACCCATGGGGGCCCTGAGTCCATACTGGAGGTGCAGCCAGAGGGCAGGATGGGCCACTATCACGGGGTTGGGCATCCTGTGGAGGGGGGCAGTTAGTCGGCTTCATACATTCACTCAACAGGTATCCGCCGAGCAGACTACCATGGGCCCTGGGGAGCAGACTGACACTGGGCAGGGGGGCCCTGCCCACAGAAAGCTGCATTCGCATGGGACTGACAGGTGACAACAGCATGGCTAGCAAGCAGGCGGAGCAGAGACTCCAGGGTGAGAGGGGGTGGGCAGAGAACTGTCGCAGGTGAGGGTGGCGGGGAGGGCCTCCCCAGGAGGGCACACCTGGGCCCAAGTCTGAAGGCCAGTGGAAACTGCAGTGCCAAGATCTGGGATGTTCTCAGGGGTCACACAAGCCAGCAGAGGGCTGCTCAGGGGCTGGGTCTCTGGGGTTGAACACGATCATCGCAGAGCTCCCCAGGGGCAGTACACCCTCACTCAGAATCTAACTGGACGAGGTCCAGATGGCCCACAGAGCTGACACCAGTGCCCAGTACCACTGGGGGAGGCCCCAGCCCCCGCGGCCTCCACTGTCTCCTGCCCATCCACTCCCTGGCCCCTCTGGAGTAAGCCATTGGGCCCCCTCAGTTTCCTGAAGGGCTATCACCTCCCTCAGGCCTGGGGACTCTGCTTACTGCCACATGGGCTGTCTGAGCTTCCCTCGACCTCCCCATTTCACAGATGAAACTACTGAGGCAAACAGCACGCTCAAGGTCCCCCAGCTGGTCAGTGAAGACTGAGGCCTAAAGCTGGGACACCGCATCCCAAGTCTGCCCTTTGTTTCATCCATTGGATGATTCTGGGGAGGAGGAGGAAGAAGGAAAGGGACACTCAATGGGGCCACCAACCCTACGACAGAGCCCTCACCACTAACTCACCTCCACCTCCCAACTCGGCATCCACCCACAAGCACTCATGGAGGCCAAAAAGCGAGAAGGAAAGCCAGGCATGCAGAAATCAGATGCAGCACCAACCTGCTGTTGTGACAGCAATTCCCCTCCCTGGGCCTCAGTTTCCCCATCTTTCCACACTCTACCACCTACCAAATAAGGTTAGTCCTAGAAAGCAGACCACAGTGGGGGCTCGCTTGGACGCAGTCTCACCTCGGTGACTTCTGAACATGTAAAATCACGCACACGCCCAAGCCCCAAGGGGTTGAGGGGACAGGGGTGGGAGAATGAGCCGCTGGAGTCTGCAGGAAAGGCTGTGGCCAGCCAGGCGTGAAGCCCCACGCAGTCCTGAGGCTGCTTCCCCAGCCCACCCCCCACCAAAACATCGTCACTGCCCACCCCCACAGGCCTTTGTGGTGCTGGGCAGACACCCCCAGAGTGACCCAGCCACGGAGGGCCTGGGGACACCCAAGCCTCTGCTGCTGTCGCCCAGTCTCATGGCTCCCTCCCGCTGATTGAGTCTGACTGCTGCCACTAGGATCTGCTTTGAACCTAGGGGAGGGATTTTTAAAGGCTAATGGCGATTTGTGTTTTGCTTTTTCTGTTTCCAAAGACCAGAGGAAGTGAGTGGTGCAGGGAGAGGAGGTGCTCGCTGTAGATGCCTCCAAGAAAGCTGACCCCACCCCATCAACCCCTGTCTGACACCTGCTGCTGCTGGCATGAGACTCCATGTCTTCTACACCGCCCCCATGCTGCAGATGAGGAAACTGAGGCTGGCAAGTCCAGGATGGCCATGGGTCCTGCTCACTCAGCCCCTCTGCGAATCCCAGCACAGCACTGAGCTGTGAGAAGCCAGGTCTATGATCTGGGCACAGGCCTAGCCCCTTGACTGAATCCAGTCCAGACCTGCATGAACCCAGCTCCTCTCCCTACACTGACCCAGGCCCCTTCGTCTCTCGGCTGGACGATGGTAGCAGCCTCCATGTGGGGTCCCTCCCTTCCGGTAAAGGCCACTGCTCTGCCCATATTCACCACACAGAGAACCAGACAGCAGCGCCCTGGAGCCTGGTCTACCCAAACCCCATCCTGGAGGCTGCCACACAGCACGAGCCCCATGTCTGGCACCAAGACAGCCACCAGCAGGCTGTCCAAGGCACGGGCAGCCCTCAGGCCTCCTCGTGAGGCCCCAGAAGCAGGGCTCGTGGGCTCAGGACAGGGAGAAGCTGGCTTCCAAGTAAACATGGAACCCTGTGAGCCACCCTGCTGCTTCTTCTGGGTTGGCTGCCAGGAAGCTCAGAGGTGAGCCAGCCCCACCATTCAGGGGTGCAGCTCTCAGCGTCGCCTGCCTGTCCACGCCCTGGGCCCTGCCCTCCTCATCTGGGAGTCTGATCCCTTTGGTAGCACGAGCTTGTTAGCAGCTTCCACTCCCTGGACTCGCTCCTGAAGCAGTGTCCCCTCACTCCTGTGTGCCCAGGGGGGCAGGCTAAGCCTGTGCTCCCGGAGAGGCTGTCAGCCTCTCGAGCTAAAGGGAGCAGGTCCCTCTGCCTCTCCCAGGCCTCCCAGGATCTGGAGTCATCAGGAGTGACACTCCTGGATCTGTTCCTCTGCTTCTCTGGGGAAAGTGGGCCTCGCTGTGCCAGAATAGAGGGATAAACAACATCTCTGTGTTTGGTCATTCAATGGACTGTCTCAGCAAAAGCAACAGGCTTGTCTTCCAGCCAAAGACATGGGCCCCCAGCAGCGGCCCCCTGCCAGGGCAAAGATGGGACCAGAGCTCTTCCTCTCTGGGGAGTGCGAGGATGGGGTGAGGAGGGGACAATGACTCACGAAGGCAGCAGGGCACTGGATGGAGGTCTCGAGACACGAGCACTCCTCTGCCAGGCGAAGTAGGGAGGGGCCCGTGGCAGAGGCAGGGAGGTGGGTGGCCCCACAAGAATGGGCGTGAGAGAGGGGGCCTCCCTGTGGGGCATCCACCACCTTCCAGAGTGGAAGGCCTGCTCCTTGGGAGAGCAGAGTCAGCCACAAGTCCTAACCCAGTGATCCGGTTTACTGATTTTCCCAGGTTCCCATTTTTCTAGAAGAATCAGCTCTTAGGGGACATTTGTTCCAGAAACCCAGCCCCTAGGAGCTTCAGAGTAGGCCGGTGAGGAAGCCCAGAGGGACGGAGAACATGCCCATGGTCAAACGTGGGGGCTTGGCTTCCACCGCCAACAGGGCCCCTGTGTCCCCACCAAGCCGCCTGACTGCTTACCTGCACCTCAGCATGAAAAAGAGGAGGCTCACTCCACGCACACTCACACACACTCACTCACACTTTCACATTCATACACTCACACACTCACACACAAACACGCTCTCACATTCACTCACGCAGTCATACACTCTCATACTCACACCCTTACACACTCACATACACTCACACACACTCACATACACTTACACTCATACACATTCTTACATTCACTCACGTGCATACACTCATACTCTCACACTCACACCATTACACACACACTCACACCCATACTCACATACACTCACTCTACACACACAATCACACACATACACTCTTACACTTACACACTCATGCACACTCATATACACTCACTCACACACATACACTCACACACACACCCTCACACACTCACATTCATACACACTCTCACATACACTCACACTCACATATCCCAGACATGTGTGCCTTTCAAGATATCACATGTGTTTAGCAGCTGTCATGAGATTACCTGTGGGCCAGAGATGCAGTGGGCAGGAGGCATTACATGTGTGCAAACTTCAAAAAGACAAGTAACGAGCAGCATCCAGTCCCCATGCCCTACAGTTGGCACCTGAAAACTCACCCTCACCACCTGCTGGCAGCACCATCAAATTGCAGGTTCAGTTCTGAGTTATTCAACCATTCATGCTTGGCACTAAATCACCTCTGTTAGTGCTAAACAGCCTTCCAGAAACCTAAACATCCAGCAACTAAAATGGCCACGGTGACTGAGCTGGGACTGTGAGTGCAGGCACTGGGCCCCTGGCCAGAGCACTCCTGGGTTGTCCTATTAGGAAAACCCAGGAAGGAACAGAGACAGGGCTCCCCGGACACCAGTCTCTCCACCACAAGGACCAGATGCCCATGGAGGGGCAGTCAGCACAGGCAAGGTCACAGGGGCCCAGCTCCAGCCCTTCCAGGGGAAGGGTGGCCTCGGGATGCTGGCCAGAGGGTGAGCAATGCCACAGCAGGGCTTCCTCAGTCCCTGGCCCAGCCTCTGCACGGAGGGATGAGTGTGTGTGCCCGCGCCCACCCCC